AAGGAAAGCAGCATGCCTGGAATAAAGTGATGGAACCAAAATGGCTACCCAAGAGAGCCTGACCACAGAGGCCCTTGTAGGCCACCGTCTAAACTTGGGCTTTTACTCCGCACGAACTGGGGAGCTGCTAGAGAATTATACACAGGGGAGTGTTATGGAGGGGCTTGAGGTTTCAAAGACCCTGCTGGCAGCTGTGTGAACAATAGGCACAGCTGACCAGCAAGTATAAGCAGAGGGCTTAGGAGGCCATGGCAATTGTCTAAAAGAGAGGAAGTGGAGATGATGATGACGTTGAGAGGGGACAGGGTCAGGACCTGTTTTGGAGGAGGAACTGATAGGACTTGCTGATTCTGGAGGGGAAGGAAAGAGAGGAGCCCAAGATGACTGGCTGCTTTGTAGATGCTGAAGAAAGCAGAAGGAACACAGTTAGTGAACACAAGCGTGCTCGTCTCTCGCCAAGTTCAAGGTCAGAAAAGGTTGATGGCACCCCTTCCTTGGGAAATTCTAAGCTGAAGAAGAGTCAGAACCCATGACACAGTGACTCAGAGAGATGGCGACAGATGCACAGGATGAGGTCTACAGGCTGGGATAGAGGTGAGCAGGTCTCGCGTCCCAACTGTTGGGAGGCTAAGCCACCCTGTGCAGGAGGGAGGACATTTAGGCACCAGGCTAGGGTCAGGGTAACATGGACTTCTTTGTCCCTCCTCTCCCACCAACTTCCCAGGTTGCTCCTGGCGTTGACCTGTGGTACCCCACCCTGTCCTGAAGACCATGACCATGCCCGGGGCAGACAGCTCCATCATTCTCAGTGATGAAAGGGCGCCAGGGCTGCGATGGCTACTTCAAAGTGTTCTCTCAAGGACTGGGGTCAGGGACTCAAAACGCTGCTGTACCAAAGCTCCAAACGTCCTTCTTCCCCACCCTCCTCACTTTAAACTTGGGCCTGCCCCCTGGACAGGAGGTGACCACCTCAGCTCACAGGCTGGGTGGCAGCCAAACAGAAGACCCCTTCCCACCCCCAGATCTTGGTCTGCCAGGAATCCTAACTTCCCTGGGGAGTGGGAGAGGAACAACAGGTTGGTCTCAAAGGGCCTCTCTGCTAAGCTCAAGCTATGGCTGAGTAGCCAGAGGTGTGTGACTCAAGGTCACCATGGAGCATTGGTCAGGCAGAGTAAGTGACAATGTGCATAATTGACAGTAAGTGACAGCCCACTTTTACAAAGTGCTCATGCCATGACAGTCATCATGAAAGTAAGCTTTAGGTGCTTATGAGTTTTCATGGCACTCCCGTAAAGTCAGTACTGCCAATATCAGCATCACCCTAAGAGAGGAAACTGAGAGGTCACGGCTGACAAATGGCAGGAATGGGCTTTGAATCCAGGTCTGTTCACCACGTGCTTGTCATATGCTGTGCATGTGGTTGAGTGCATCACTTGTGTCACTCACTAACCCTGTGAGAAAGGCACTTATCCTGGGCAGGGGGCTCAGAGGGGCTACACAGCTAGGCAGGGAGTGACAGCTCAGGCATCTCAGTGACACCTAGTTGCCTGGCTCCACTGCGTCCCTGGCAGGGACAGGGTAATGATAGTCAAGTCACCTAAAAATGGAGACCATCTACCTCTTTGGAAGGAAGAGTAAGGCACCAAAGCTTCTGTTCTCAGGAGTTCTGCTCCCCTCACCCTTGCCTTTTCCGTGCAGACCTTGGCCTCCAAACATCAAGGCACGTCAATGAGCCTACTGTCCAATTCCCTCCTACTACAGCACCGTGAACAACACCTGGAGCTGTGCCAGAAGAAGTCTCAGACACTGCTTCTAGGTGATGAGCAGAGATTTAAGTCCCCAATGTGTTCCCTGCTGAAGACCTTTGGGACCATGTCCCCTAGACTGAAGCCCCACTGAGATTGCTTTTCTTGTTTGTTTGTTTGAAATAATTATAGATTCACAGAAAATTGCAAGGAAAGAGAGGTCTGGTGTGCCCTTCACTCAGTTTCCCCTGATGGTTACTTTTTACATAATTATAGTACAAAATCAAAACCAGGAATTTGGCATTGGTCCCATGTGTGTATGCTCCTGAGTCCTTTAATCACATGCTTAGGTGTATGTAACCACAACTGTAATCAAGATACAGAACCATTGTGTTTCCACAAAGATCTCCCTGGAGTCACATCCATTTCCTTTTCCCCCACCATCCCTAACCCCTGACAACCAATAGTCTGTTCTCCGTCTCTATCATTTTGTTATTTCAAGAATGTTACATAAAAGGAACTGTACAGTATGTGACCCTTTGAGATTGGCTTTTTTCTTCTTCTTTTTATTGGGGAATTGGAGGGATGGGAACAGAGCTGGGAAATTGAGGGAAGGGGAACAGACAAGTTGCTGTCGTTTTGTTCTTCAGTCTAGTTGTGGAGGACGTTGCTTGACTGGCCCAAGCTGGCACCATCATTGCGTTCTTCCCGGGCGAGGCAGATCAGTCGCCGGCTTCTGGACGGCCGCTCACTGCGGCTGCTGGCCACTCACGCTGGCTGCTGGCTACATACGGTAGCCCATGGCAACCCACTGCCACAGGGGCTGCAGCCTAAGCCGTCGCCAGGGACTCATGGCAGCCCAGCTCCAGGTTTTTTGTTTTTTTTTCTACATCACTAAATAACTGTAAGGCAATTCTGCCATAAAATAAAAAAGATAAAATAAGTGTTTGACAGTTTGGCTTTTTTTGTTTGTTTGTTTGGTTGGTTGGTTCGTTGGTTTCATTTCTCCATTGACTAATCAATTAATTGCTATAAAAAAATAAAAATAACTGGTTGACAGTTTGGGGTTTTTAAAAATTTGTTTGGTTTCATTTCTCTATTGACAAAGTTTTCACAGTTACTTTCATTTTTGTATCATAAATAAATCTTAGCTAGCCCTTATAGTGGTCTCATCAGTGATAAGTAGATGTGGTACTGGTTTTAAAATAGTTAGCATTTCTTCGAGATGATGATGATTTATACAAAAATTTGGTTTCTTACTTCAAAGTACACTATATTAGAAGGAAAAAAAGAGGCCAAGAACCCTGTTTGAGGGCACAGAGTTGAACCCACATTTCCCATAGGACAAAGACAAGTGGTAAGGTATTATTAGGTACAAAATAAAATCAGTTATTTGCAGAGCATTGCTATGAATCTACACACATTTTTTTCCACACAATTTTAAATGTATTGAAATATTTTGTATCTCCCAATTAAATCTTCTAAAATTTTGTTATATTTGTTTTAATATCCCTTTTTTATTCTTCATTATTTTATTTTTTTATGGCAAACTTGTCTTATGGCCACTTAGTTATGCAGTGAAAACATTTGTGGCAAAAATGCTGAGGCAAAGATGCTACAATGAAAGTACCTAGAACCTCCCCTAACATCACTGTTTTTTGAAGAAATTGTTCTTCACTCTTTCTACTTCCTTCTCAATGCCTCACAGTCAGCAGAGTGTGGCGGTGCCAGAGTGAAGATTTCTCAGAAGCTTCCCTTATCATCTGTAGGACTTGCATGGCTTGGCTTGTTGTCTAGTTCTGGCCTCAAACACTCACAAAATAGATGCCTGATAAAAGTGGTGAGGTGGGGCCGGCCGAGTGGCGCGATGGTTAAGAGCTGGCTTGGGACCCCAGAGGGCCTTGGTTCGGATCCCACATATGAGGGCCAGTGACACTGCCCTCCACAGCCAAGATGCTGAACAACAGCTCAAGCTGGGCTGCCGTGAGTCGCTGGCGATGGCAGTGGGTTGCCATGGGCTACCGTGTGTAGCCAGCAGCCAGCGTGAGCGGCCAGCA